GTCATATTGCCCTGCAGCGACTTCAAAATCAGGTCCATTTCCAGTCCCATAAGATGTAAAATGCAATACTTGCATCAAGTGGATTTTTGAGTGGGTTGTTTATTTCCATCTGTCTCATATTTATGGGCAGGTCAAGTGCAAGATCTGAGCCAACTTGAGAGAGAGAGAGAGAGAGAAAGATGGCATTCTAAAGAAAAGAGCCAAGTCTAAAAAAGAAAATAAGAGAACATTAGCAAATTTAACTGAAAGGCTTGGGGATGCCAATGTTTCTTCACATTCCAGGCAGTTTTGTATGCAAAATTTTAATTTGCAAACATGAAAATTTGATAATCTTTACACAGTTACATACAGTATTTGTTATGGTTTAGATATGAGGTGTCCCCCAAAAGCTCCGGTGTGAGATAATGTGAAAAAGTTTAGAGGTAAAATGATTGAGCTATGAGAGGCTTTACATTAATCCACTTGAATGGATTAACTGAATGGTAACTATAGGTAGGTGGAGTGTGGCTAGAGGAGATGGGTCACTGGGGGTAAGCCTTTAGGAGATATATATATATATATATATATATATATATATATATATATATATTTGTCTCTGGAGAGTGTAGCTATCTTTTTCTGCTTCCTGGTGCCATGTTCTGAGCTGCTTTCCTCCTCCACACCTTTTCCTCTTGATGTCTGGTCTTACCTTGTATCCAGAGCCATGGAGCCAGCTATTTATGGACTGGGACCCTGAAACCATGAGTCCTCCAAAAAACCATTCTTTCTCTAATTGTTCTTGTCAGCTCTTTTGGTCACAGTAGCAAAAAAGCTGGCTAAAACAGCATTGTTAGAAATGACAGTTTTTGTAAACAAAAATTATATGTTGTATATATTTTCTAACAAATACATCACAGTTCCATGTTACCTTTCCAATTTGATTTCCTATAAAACGAAGTTTCACTTCCAAAGTTCTCCTTCAGTGAACACTGTTCTTAGCACTCCCATTTATCTTTCCTGTGGAACTTCATTTTTCATTAAAGTTTGTACCAATAATTAGTCAGAAAAATAAATATTCCAATACAGCTACATAGAGGATAAAGTTTCTTGACTCATCACCACACATTAAACTTATCCATAACTTATATTAACTGCTCATTTATGTCCTTAGAACTGGTTTAATAAGTGAATGCTTTATTTCCCAAATGTAAACACTGTTGTTTGTTCAGATTCTTATAAAATATTTAACAAGTAAGTCTTATGTCCTTAGGTAAAAATAAATTAACTTGGAAAATGAGTCCAGCCTAATTAAATCAGGTGCCATGTAGATTTCTACCTGTCCATAATTATAGAAGAAAAACAATATCTTGTACTAAAAAAAATACACATGACATTAATTAATCTTTTGGGGGTATTTAATGTTAAAATTAGGATATGTTCAGACTATAATAATTTACCTCTCATGATTTAAGTTGTTAAAGATATGAAATACAGTTTTAAGGGATCAGAATGTACTGAACAAGAACTATCTGCTTTCTCCTAGCTTGAACTTGTATTTAAAATCTTTATTCTGAGCAGCCTTTCCTATTTATGTTAGCATTTACCTGGAATTAATCCCAAGTGTGTTTTTTGAAATAGGAAACCTATTGTAAAATTGATTTGACAATTAACTCTAAATATCAATGTCTTAGTACAAAAAAAGATCTCTTCTCGCACATAATATTTATCTTAAGTGAACAAAGTTTTCTATTCTTAAAAAAAAAAAAAGTTTTCTTTGTAGTGTTTTGGACACCTGAATTGAAGGTGACTTCACTATCTGCTGATGGCCACCACCATCTACAGGGCATAGAGAGCTGAGAAAGATCATAGCTATTCTTAAGAAAGTTAATTGGCAAGTTATGTACCCTTCTATTCACCAAATGTTCAGTGCATTATTTTTCTCACGTATAACACACACCCATACCTTCTCATGAGAGATAATCTGAAGCCCATCCTGTCAGTGAATGAATCTCAAAATTTATATATCTAGGGTAAATGCAATAACCCCAGTGGTGCACAGTGGTTTCTATTGGTCTGGAGACCTATAAATGGTTAAAGACCTTGTCAGTGTAGGATTGTGGTTTCACTGGTAGTATATTTCTCTCAAAAACTTAAGAGGCTTCTTCTGTTCCCAGTCTGTTCCAGGTTCCAGAAACCACACCCACACTTACCTACTTCTCAAATCTCCTAGAGCCCTTTTTTTTCCCCTCAACCCTATGTCACTGTCTCTCGATTTGATGGTGACTGTCTGAAAGCTTACTGTATTAAGGTGAGGAGTCCTCACTTTTAAAACTTTCTCTGCCTTAAGAAGGTTAATCCAGCAATCAACTGAAAGGTTTTATTGAATATTTGTTACCTGAAGTCTCTGTAAAATTCCTTCATTTATGCTTTGGGGTCTAGAAGCAGCTGGCTTTCTCCATACTGTAGGGATTCACATATCCATATTCTCTTTATTTCTTCCCATCTTTACTTGTGAACTGGAAGATTCTTTCCTGAATTCATCTTTGTTTTGTAACATGTTGTCAAACATAGCCAATACTTTGTTAAACTATGGTTCTACTCCTCCCCTCCCCCTTTTTACTGTAAGATAAAAGTTACCTAGGCCTGTGGTCTTCCGTCCAAGTTCTGACTGTATTTAGCTTCACCAAATGTTTTGTGGCTATATAACATGATTTTTTTTTCTTTGTGTACTTCAGGATCAATTTTCTCACTGCCTATCCACTGCCCATCAAGGACACATAAATAATAGAAACCCTATTTCAAAAACTTATTTCTGTGTGAGAACAGACAACAAGTTATACTTAGTAACAAATTAACAAAAGAATCTCAGTGGCTGCCCACAATACAGGTGATTTCTTATTCATATAATGTACAGTTTACCAGGGAATTCACCTCCATATTGTCATGCAGAGAACCAAGCTATTGGTCATTTCACTCTCTTTAACTTTGCCATCTCAACCTGGGGCTCTGTGGGTAGCCAGATCAAGGGAAACTTAAAATTACACTTAAATATCTTAGATGGGAAATGATACATGGCATTTCCTCTTACAGGCTTAGTCTACAATTAGATGCATGGTCTTGCCTAATGGCATGAGAGGCTGGAAAGCCCTTACATGTTCCTAAAAATTAGAGGAAATTTGGAGAATACTGATCTCTATTTCTCTGTATGCCCATTATTCACAATGTTTGGACAAACATAGAAACATAGATAAGTTACAGTAATTTATTTGATTATCACTGTGGTGAAGAAACATTTGCCAAACCAAGTATTGGGTTACATTATAAACATGAATGGAAAGAAGTTCAATCCATTCCTTTAATTATGAAAATACTTAAAACTAATCATCTAGAAAAGAAAAGTATATAACAATCCAATTGGCTCTTAATTTTTAAAAAGTCAAGAACTCCCTCCAATACTACATAGAAGAACAGATTATTGAACAAAAAGCAATGTCTTTTTTTACCTTTCTTCCTTGGTGGATTAAGCAGTTTTCTGGGGAAATCTATTAAAGACCAGTTGCAAGCATATACTACTAGCCATATGACTGTCCACACCTTCTGAGGAGTCCATGATTCCGATAGTTCTTGTATACAAATACTTCTATAGCATCTTTGAACTGTCAGTAGAGTCATTAAAAATTTGGGGGAGTACTAAAAATTGAAAATTCAACTAAGAAATAAGAATCATTTCCAATATCCTCTCTACTATTATAAATAAATTGAGACCAAGATTAATGAAGAGGTTCATATATAATAAGTTCTTTTTTCTCTTTTTGAAGTTTTCTTTGTTCCCTGATCACAAAAGTAACTCATGATTGCTGTTACAAAGAAAAAATTAAAAAGCAACAGTAACCCTCAATGCTGGCACAATTAGAGATTACTATGGTTGACATCATCACCAATATTTTTTCAAATTTATATACACGTGTGTTCTCCAAACAGGACTGTTGAACAAATTAATTTTTGTTTGCTCTATTTCATTTAACATAACCACCCATATTAATGTACATAAATAAAAATGAGCTCTTTCACTTAAACACATTGCATTCCACTGGAACGATGTACCATAAATTATTTATATAATCTTCTACTGATGGACATTTAGGTTGCAAAATTATTTTCAGTATTATACATTTTAACATGGGCATCTCAATACATGTATGTGAGTTTACCCTATTATTCCCCTTAAAATAAGTTTCTAGAAATGTAATTTTCTACCTGAAAGAATCTCTAAATTTAATTTTTTATATTATATTAAAAAATTACCCTTTAGAAAAGTTGTAAAAATTTACTGAGATCAATATAAAACAATTAAATATATTATAGTACTTCCATGGACTGAAATACCACGTTGAAAAAAAATTAATGATATGGAAAACTACATACAGGACTAAATCAAACAATATGAAAGATTTAGTGAAGTATGTTAATAATATGATAGCTTACTATTTATAATATATACATATATAACATATCTGAGGAGGCTCCATGGCAGGGAGTATCACAACTAGAGAAAGGTAATTTAGAGTAGATCTTGAAAAATTTTTTTATCCTCTGTTATAGTTGTTAAAATTTCTAAAGTTTCTACATATTTTATTTGTAATCTGAAAAATGATGCTAAAAAATCCAAAGTCATAAAACTGAAGAAACTTCACATATTTTATAGCTCACTTCATGTTAGATGTACCATCATAAGACCAGAAAGCCCCTAAAGTTGCTCTAATCTGGATTGTTTAAACATATGGGGCTGAAATACATTTGCCCAACAAAGAACTTGTTTTTAACTCTCGAAAACTCTTCCTGCCTAATAGCAAGCAGAATAGAACCTTCTCTTCTTCACTGAGAAAGCAAATAAAAAGCAAAGCTGTGAGGTCTCTGAAAACAGATTGGAAAACCGTTCCCAAGCTATAAGTCCCTGGCTGCAGGCATTTTGGAAAGCATTTTGGAGGCGAACAAACCATTAATAAAGATTCAATACTTACAGTGACCTTTGAGCAATTCCAGATGTAGACATGGAGGTTTTTCCACAAATCTAAAAGAGGCTGCCACAAGAAATGACAGTTCACAACCGGCTTGTATGAGGCTAGAATTGCAAGGGACACAGAAAAAGACTCAGCAGAAATGAAACAACACAAAAAGAATCCAGATTCTTGACCAAACAGAACCAAAGATTTATTCTTTCCAAAAGGTTTCACCAGTTCCTTAAGTGAAGAAGAAAATGTTATTTTGTATTTTCTGGATGTAATCACGGGTTTAATCTGTAACCAGCCTTTATCATACACTTATTCCCATCTATCACTAAGCTAATATTTTATACTGAGTAACTAATTTAAATCCTCACCCAAAACCAACATGGTAGAGACTATTATTCACATTTTATGATTAGAAAAGTGAGGGAAAGACACTTAGGTAGTTTGGCTAAGGTCATCTATTTAGAATACAGCTCAGCAAACTTCTTAAAGGGGCAGTGAATAAATATTTTAAACTCAATGGACATGAGATCTTGATCACAAATACTTAACTCTGCTCCTACTTACGGAAAAAGTATCTATAGACAATATTTAATATTTAAATGAAGGAACGTGGCTATGTTGCCAAATGGGAATTGGGTCCATAAGAATGGCTTGCCAAACTCTGACTTGAAAAACAGTAATGCAAAATTCAAACCTTGAATAAATAAACTACCATACAACAAGAGATAACAAAATAAATGTGACACTCTTTGTAATGTGGATTCACTCAGTCTAAAATATTAATTTGGTTCTCTATACAGTTCTGTTCAAAATAATCTCACTAGTCAATTTTTCACTGATTGTGATTTGGTGGGCAAAAAGATTTGTCTGCCCAAGTGACACTAGCAAAGTAGGGATTATTCTTAGCAGAATGTAGATTTAGCAACAGTATTTCAGAACACATGTACAGATTTGAAATCTGGATAGTTCTCAGACTTTTAAAATGTAAGAGGTAAGAAGGGGATTATTGAGTTCTTTTTTAATACAGAAATGTTTAATTTGACAAGTCTTACCATCTGTATTTTTTCTTAATTTCAAAATTTTTGTCACTTTATAAATTTGTCTATAAATATAATCATATGAGACAATATATTTGTATCCAGTTTAAGTGGCTTAAAATCCAAAGTACTAGGGAAATATATTTTAATCACATTTAATTTTCCTTGTATTTATAGAGATGAAAAATAATCAGTAGATTGAGTTGGTTATTCCATATTTGAATAGTAGTCATCACCAGAATTAGAGAGACACACACGAATACAAGTTATGTATGAGCACTAAAATCATTGATAAGTTATTTGATCTACAGGCAAGAGAAAGAAGAGTCATAAAATTTAAACTCTCAGTCTTAACTGTGTTAAGTACCCAAGCCAAAATTTCTAAATCTGAGTCCTCCACAGGAAAATGGCAATCAGATTTTCTGCTAATTTACCAGGGTTACTGTGAAAGCTATGTGAAAAAAAAATCACAAATTATCTTATAAATGTAAAGTATAGCTTCATTAAGTTAGTGTTCTAAGACTTAGTCTATTCTTATTAAGAAATATATCTTATTTTATTTGTTTACTTGTTTTATTCTGTTTTTCTCTCTTCCCTTTACAGATATGTAATTCCTTTTACCAAAAACAAAGAAAAAAAAGAGTCCCAGAGTTCGGAATCTTCACTATTCCATCCTTGTGAAAAAAGCAAAATCAACTTATAATTCAATTACCATTTCTGTTTTCAGGATCTTGTAAAATGTACTTTATCATGTGTAATCACCTACATAAGACACAGTCATTTCTAAATATTCTGTCTACTGGATTCGTACAGTAGCTTCTTTAAATTCTCTAGGACTGAAAAGCAAACAATAATATGCTTGGAATACCAGGTATCTGTAATAAGTAGTTTATACAAAGTAATTGACTAGAATTTTGGCTAGGTTTCTAAGAAATATTATAAGGATATGGTAGTAGAGGGTTTTTTTTTTTTTTTTTTTTTTTTGCAAGAGTTTGTTAGCCCATCTCTTGGGAAGGATTACACTCTCTACTCACTGGAGTGAGTCTTGGTCATATGCTTGTGAAACGTGAGAGAGGACATGTGTTACTGGCAAGCAGAAAATTTAAGAATCACAATCTAGTTTGCCAGGTTCTTTCTTCTCCTGCTTTATTAAAGCAAAATATTCCAGATAAGGGTTACGCCATCAGCCTGGGGTCCAGAGTGAGGGCTGCCTGGGACAGCACCAAGACCAGCTTATGACACCGCAGAACAAGAGCGAGAAGTGAGGTGTTGCTGCTGTTAGTCCCTGACATTTGAGGTCCAGTTACACTTTGTACTTGACCCCTTAATTAGAGTAATGAAAAAGGAAAGCAATAGAAAATATTTCATGCATTCAGAAAGGAAAAAAAAAGGCATTAAATGCTTCCTATGTATTAATACTATTATTTATAACAGAATATAAGGCCGGCTTTTGTCTACACTAACCACAAAATATTGTATGAGATTCAGAATCCAAGAAGGAATTTTTAATTTATTTATTGGGTAGGAAAGGAGATAGAAAAAAAAATCACATCCAGAAACACATTAGTTATTATTTAGAGATCATCAACAGATTTAGAAAATGGGGCTCTTATTATCTTATTCTATAGGAACTTTTTCTTTTCTTTCAAATAAACTATGAAGTTTTTTACAATAAAAACAGAAATGACTCAAAACATATTAGCAAAACTCAACAGATTTCCGAAATTCAGAGACTACTAATATATGTAGCATGTCTTTGTGTAGAAGCTAAGTCTTCATAGCACATAGATCCTACCAGAATCTCTGTTTTTCAATTAAAAGTAAATTGTATTTTGAATCATAAAATCTTTAATATCTGGTTCAGTGCATGAAATATATAATTTCAGTGATAACATGAGATACTCTGCAATTTCAGAAACGATCAACCCAGTGTCAGGGATACCCTGCCCTCTACTGTCAGCATCAAAATTTTGCATGTATTACTAAATAGTTAAGAAATCATTTCATTTACAATCTGATTTTTCCCTCTACACATTAGTGTTTAAACATTCTGTTTCTATTCTATTAGCTGTTTTCTTAGAAAATTTAATATGATGCCTTATTTACACTGTACAGGTAATCAATCTCTTTAAACTATTTCTGAATAGTTAAAGGAACTCAAAATGCTTCATCTAATCTGTTATTTCTCAATTTATATTCTCTTACTCTTCTGTATCTATTTTTCTTGATTTTATTCTATTAACTAGAAAATGTTATAATTGTCTTACTTCATGTTACACAGATATTTTCTGTGTTTTCTGCTCACCATGTCTTCTCAGACTTTCTTTTGATATCAGTTCATTTATAATGCAAGTCTACTGCTGACAAATGATCTCCATTATTATCTATCTGCAAAAGTCTTTAGTTTGCCCCTCTTCTTTAAAGTTTCAGTGATAGAGTATAGATCTATATCACTTGCTTTCCTTCACTAATTAAGCATAGTATTTTTCTGTCTGAAGCTTGCATGTTACTGTCAATTCCATTCAACTGTCCTCACTCTAGCTGGTTTTTCTGACAGGCTGGCTTAGCAGTTGTCCAAAATTTACCACTCTAAAAGCCCCACAGTCTTTTCTAGTCAAGCTTTTGGTAATACCAATTTGGTTAAGTTTTCCACTGCTTTGCCAGGAAATCTCCTTTTTATTGACTTTCTACTTCACTTATGTTGTAAGTTCCACAATTTTGCATGAGTTCTCTGTATCTGTCATTTGCTTATAACCTCTAGAGTTTTCCTGCAAACATGATCTCTAAAAGGTAGTTTCAAACATATGCAGATTTATAATGTATGATTTACATCATCTGCACCTATGTCAATGAACAGAAGATATGTTCATGCAACACCATGTAATATTTCACACTATCATAATACTCTGAATATGTACCAATAGTGTCCTTGCACAGAGACACTGAAAACTTTAAAAATCATACTATTTTTGTAGTAAAAAAAAGAGCTATCTTTCAATGAGTTAAGCTTATTTGTAAATAACAAGCATGTTCTACTATTTTAACATTATATAGTAGTAAAATATATTTTTATGTTTAACATTATATAGTAGTAAAATACATTTTTATTTTCAGACAAATAAATTTTAATAGATTATATGGAATTTCTTTTTCATATCTTCTGAAATGCATGTGCCAGTAATATCAAAAACATTAGCAGTGCTTATATATTGAAAGGTTCTATTAAGCAGTCATTCACTTTAGAATAGAGTTAGCTTTGTATTTTGGACACTCTAGATATTTTTTCAGCATCTTACAGATAATTCAAGAAAGAAATCTGAAAAAAAAATGCACAATAGTGTTTCTACTTAATAAATATGTTACTACTCTATTAACATTATGTACCAACCAATATACAAATATGTTGATGAAATCTGCACTAGTCAAAGTACTCTCATAAATTTAGCAAAATTTGTTTTAGACCTGTTACAGGCTTGGTACTCTCATAGGTGCAAATGCCAGAGTGGTGAACAGGAAGATCTGCTCTGAAGTCAAATATTGTAGTCTCTTCTGAAAGACGACCAAATATTAAGTCAATATAGAAATATTGAAAAGTATGAGGAGTGCTCAGACAGAACAAGCATAGCACACCTTATGAGCACTTAATTTCAGAAACATTTTGAAAAGATGAAGGCTCTTAGGACTTGGCTTCAGAAAGAACCCTGAAAGGCATGTTTCATTTCTTAGCCCTGAGAATCACATCGTAATTCATTTGTTCTTCCTGCATTACTTGAAATCCTAGATAGACACTAAAAATAGTTCATAAAAAATTAAAACTTATTTAAAATGCTAGTGATGATTTACAAACAAAGCTTAGTATGGATAGTTGCAAGTCAATACAATCTTGAAAGGGCATCTCCTGTGATGGATGTATTCACTCAAAGAACAGATTATTGGAGCTTCAGTGAATCATACAAATATATCTAGGTTCCCTGAAATCAAGAGAGAGTGCAAAGAAAGCAACTAAGGACAGGCAGAAGATTATATATGAGCTAAATATACTTTAAAAAGTATTGTACTAGTTTAAAATTTAATTTGCTGTAACATGAAATAGCACAATTTTATGAAATATCAGGTTGCAAGGTTATCATGATTAGAGATTCATTACAATAAATGTTTTAAGTGCAATAACCTAATAGGCATCATCCTATAATAAAGTAAAATGACCCATTTTATTTTTGTTTGTCTTTTCTTTCTTGTCACAGAATGCTTAAGGTAAAAATGGACAGTGCATATATGCACCCTTAGAGGTACATGGTGATATGTTTGGGTGTTCACCAACTTGGTATGAAAATACAGCTTACTTACTTGGCACATAAGGTTTAGTTAATTTTATATAATTGAAAACATTCAGATAGGTTTTATGTAGAATGCACACATTGGCGAATATGTGACTACATGGTTGGCTTATGTTTGTGGTGGGCCATTTCTAGCTGTAGCCTTATTTTGGAGGTATATAATGATACCCTATTTGGGAGTAGAGGCCTGAAACACCAGTTACTAGAACTAGTACTGGAACAGATTCAGAAGCTCTGGGTTTGAGGATCACTACTCCTCTAAGTCAATGCCTTTGGACAATACCCTACACCTCAGGGCTATTGGTCACAGTGTCTCTAAACTGGCATCTTTGAGACCACTAAATCTCTAAACTGGCATCTTTGAGACCATTCAAACTTTAACATTCTGGGTTTCTGTGTAATTTCTGTTAAGATTGATTTAGTCTCAAGAGCACAAGAAGTCTATCTTCTCAACAAAAATTTGAGAACTGTCGTGTATAATAGACTATATTTACTCGCTGCTTGTGTACATTCAAGGAATTTGTATCATTGTAGTCCCTAAGAGTGCCAGAACTGGTAAATAAAACATGCATGTATATAAATTTCTATTCTCAATATTATTTGTAATTAATTAGCCCCTAATGTTTATTTTGCATAAATAGTAGGAATATATCATATTCTTATTCTGCCATTCAGATAGCAAGTTCTGTTGCTTTTTGATCAATCTCTACATTGGCTTTACAAAAAAAACACGTGATCAATTTCATTTCTTCTTCTGTGAAGAATTGTCTGTTCAGTTCCTTAGCCAATTTATTGACTGGATTACTTCTTGTTGTTGTTGTTGTTGTTTGGTGCTAAGTTATTTTGAGTTCTTTATATATCCTGGAGATTAGTGCTTTATCTGAGGTGCATGTAGTAAAGATTTTGTCAGCACCGTTTATTGATTAGGCTATCTTTTCTCCAATGTATGTTTTTGGTGCCTTTGTCTAGTATGAGATAACAATATTTATGTGGGTTTGACTCTGTGTCTTGTATTTTGTATCACTGGTCTACATGTATAAAATTTTCATTATCTCTAGCAATTAGATAAATGAAAATTAAAACTACTAAGATTCCATCTCACATAGTAAGAATGGTAATTATCAAGAATACAAGCAATGATAGGTGTTGGTGAGGAAAAATACACTCTTACATTGCTGGTGGGACTGAAAATTGGTGCAACCATTATGGAAAGAAGTATGGAGATTCCTCAGAAAACTGGGAATGGAAACACCATTTGACCCAGCTATCTCACTCCTTGGTTTATACCAAAGGACTTAAAATCAGCATACTATAGTAACACAGCCACATCAATGTTTATAACAGCACAATTCACAATAGCTAAATTATGGAACTAACCTAGATGCCCTTCAATAAGTGAGTGGATAAAGAAAATATGGTACATATACATAATGGAATATTAGCCACAAAGAAAAATTAAATTATGGCATTTGTTGGTAAATGGATGGAACTAGAAAATATCATGCTAAGTGAAATGAGCCAATCCCTGCAAAACAAAGGTTTTATCAGCACCATTTATTAATTAGGCTATTTCTGATAAGCGGATGCTGATCCCTAGTGGGGGGAAGAGTAGGAAGAATGGAGGAACTTTGGATTGTGCAGAGGGGAGTGAGGGGAGGGTTGGGGCTGTTGGGATGGGAAGGGCAGTAGAATGAGAAAGACATTATTACCCTATATATACATATGATTACACTACTGGTATAAGCCAAAAGAATGAGAAGTTGTGCTCTATTCGTGTACAATAGCAAAAATGCATTCTATTGTCATGTATAACTGATTAGAACTAAAAAATTAAAATAAAAACAAAAATAACCAAGTGATACTTGGGTACAGAAAGCTTTTACCTCTATAACTTCAGACAAAACACTGAATTAAATTTCTTAAATATAAAATGAGAATTAAAAGAATCCTTCTCATTTTTACTTTCGCAGCCATTAGTGAAAAAGAAAATAAAAATATAGAATGAAGCACTGAATCTCAAAACAAGAGTCGGAAATATTATCATTTTATTAATACAAAACCACATGTGTCATTTTCATGTTAAGCATATATTAGTAGTAAGTTGGCACATGAATTATTGGTAAGGAAATTTTTCATGAGGAAATGGCCTTTAAAATAAATCTTGTGTGTATAGGAGTATATGGAGAGAAAGGTGGAAGACAGATCCCCAAGGGAAGAGCAGTCTGAGCTTTTAAGTATGAATTATAAAAAAAAAGTCTCCCCTCGTTTCACCTCTTTACTGAGGACCAGATTGTTCTGTGAACTGAGCTCATTCCAGGCAATGAACATTATAGCAAAAGTTAACAGGGCCAATTTCTACCACCACAAAAATTTTAAGACAAATAATCACCATAAAGAAAATAGTCATGAACCCTGGCCTACTGCCCATGCCTGGTTGAGTTTTTAAACCAGGCTACTCAAAATAAATCTGTACAGTTTGATCAAGTCCTTAACATTCATCACTTCAGTGGCTTTAACTTTTTACTGTGATCCCCAGTAAAAAATATATTATGCATCATAGCCAGAGTAGATTATGAAAATAGAAAAATTAAGTTTCATAAAAAATCATCTATCTTTACTACATGCTGTACGCTCTGGTATCTTGTATTCGCTTCTGATTCTTTTTTAAAATTACTGTTTCAGGGCCAGCTAATTGATTTTGCAACTTATACCATATCATGAACCTCAATGCACAGTTGAAAAGGAAGGGAAAAACAAGTTTCCCATGAAAATGAAGAATAAAAGGAAAAAATTGAAATAGAGTAGATAACAAAAAAAGAAAAGGGTGGTTGATCACTACAGAGAAAAGGAATCCTAGCATTTTGAAATGAATATCACCAATGAGAGGAAAATATTATCAACTAGAAGAGAAAAAATATATAAGAAAATTGTCAGAGTGAGGTTTGAAAGATTCTAAGAAGCTCAAATATTTTTCCCCATATATCTAACAACTAACAACTTCATAGATAAACCATTGTATACATTAGACACATAAACTATGTACAAATCACAGTCTAGATGAAAGCCAAAATACTCCTGTGATTTTAAAAATTATTGTATATTAATTTTTGTACAAAATGGATAAATTTTATTATTTACAATTAGAGGAATTAAGATTAACCATCCATTTCAGTTAACAACTCTGAGAAGTAAAAAGATTTCATTATAATTTAAAATTTTCTGTGTTCAACTGGCACTGAATTCATAAGATTAGCCAAAAACTGTGCAAACAGCAAAGACTTCATAGTTGAAGAACAACATTTTATGTCTGAATCTAGGTTTTACCACTTCTGTAAAAAGGATAAGTGACAAAATGTGATAGAAACACTTTGTAAATCAAGGTTCTGCAGCTAATCTTCAACCAATTACAGCACCATTATATTTTCATAATTATATAGAGTTACAACAACTTTTCCATAGATGAGTCCGTTGCTCTTTTTTTCCAAACCATCTCTATAAATATCTTTTCACCTCCTTTCCCCACTGCCATAGTTCACACAAAATAGACATCTTACCTGTCTGTTATTTCATCAGAAATCCCCTTTTCTGATATGCAAGGATTCAGTCACCATCATCTCAAAATCTACCATAATGGAAAAAAATATTTATTATTAGATGATGTTTTGAACTTAATGTCAATTCTTGTTATTAGTGAAGTTTTTCTTCTAAAGGCTGAAATTTTGTATAAATGACTTGCATTTTGTTATCTGCATTATTAGCTATTTTCAAGTTGCTCCATTTCCTGACTTCTCACTGCTAGTTTTAGATTAGTTTTAATTGTGTGATCTGCACTATCAACTGAATGGGACGTCCATATGGGTACGAACTTTTGTTGTTCAACAGTTTAATCAAGGTGCATAAAACAGGGCTGGGACATAGTTGGTATTAAATAATTATTTGTAGAATAAGTCAAGAAAAGTTTCACCTTTGACTTTACTGACCCCTTTCATCTTTTTCCTTTTAAGCTTGCGCCTAATCTGTGGATTAGTAATCTCTAAATCCTCTTCCAACCGTAGAATGCTATGTTGCTGATACGAAAAACATATATTCAGGTCATTTGATGATTCCTTACTTGATTCACCCAAGCAAAGTAAATTCATTAACTGCTCCTCCACTTAACAGTGCTCCATTATTGCTTATAATATTAACATATATCACAACAACTTTTCCAAAATCAGACTAAGGTTTCATCAAGGATAATATGTGTTTTTACCTCTTTCTTCATAAGCACTTATAATATACCAGAGTGTTTGGTATATTGTATGTCACAGTGTTAGTTACTCAATAAATATTTTCTGATATGAATGATTGAGATTTCTGTAAGATACTGCTTTCAGAGCTATGGAAGAAAGAATACTTCTTTTGACTTTTTAAAATGTCTAGCTGAAGAGCATACGTTGCAGGGTACTATCTTTATAGAGGGTGATGAAGGAGGTGCCTTTTTAGGTTTTTCATTATTCCTCAATCTTAAAACCCATGCAACAGATCTTTTTTTCCATAGGATATTTTCCTTTTGAGAAATGCAAAAGTTATCATGTCCTATTCTGACTGTTAGAAGTCTCATTTAAAAGGACAGGAACAGCTGGGCTCAGGGGTACACTTCTGTGATCTCAGTGGTTCAGAAAGCTGAGACAGGAGAATAGAAAGTTCAAAGCCAGACTCAGCAAAAGTGAGGTGCTAAGCCCCTCATACAAAATAGGGCTGGCACATGAAAAGAAACTATGCAACATATTTACAAACATTAAAAAAAAAATAGGGCTGGCGACGTGGCTCAGTGGTCGAGTGCCCCTGGGTTCAATCCCCAGAACCCTCCCCACCAAAAAAAGGACAGAAACATAACTAAGTCTGCCCAGATAACTGAGAACAAATTTTAAAAGTTTCCAGAAGTAGATATTATCTGAATTCCACATTTCAATATTCTATTTAAATAACAATTTTTCAAAGAAAAATAAGTAAATAGTTATCCTAAGCATTTAAGCTATGTACTCTAAATCACTGTTTAAAGAAAATAAAGAGAAAAATATAATTTGTCTCTCCCATATTTTATAGGTACATTATAATTATACAAAGTGGAGAGATTCACTGTCACATATTTGTACATGCACACAGTTTAACAATATAATTTGGTTAAGATCATTCCCAGTATCTTCCCTTCCTCCGCCCTTCTCCCCCCCAGTAATTCCTTTTCTTCGCTTTACTCAATTTGTCTCCCTTTGATTTTCATGAGATTTCCCCTATTTCTTTTCCTTTTCCCTCTTCAGCTACCACATATGAAAGAAAACATATGACCCCTGACTTTCTCAGTTTAATTTATTTTGATTAACATAAATGTTCTCAAGTTCCATTTATTTTCCCATAAATGACATAATATTTATGGCTGAAGAAAATTCCACTATGAATACATATACCACATTTTCTTTATCCATTTACCCATTGATGGACACCTAAACTGATTCTGTAGTTTGGCTATTGTGAATTATGCTGCATACATGGGTATGCATATATCCCTATAGTATAATGACTTTAACTCTTCAGAATAAATACTGAGGAGTGGTATTTCTGAGTAACATGGTGGTGCCATTGCTAGCCTTTGAAGGAAGCTCCATACTAATTTTCATGGTGATTGTACTCATTTACAATTCTGCCAGCAGTGCAAAGTGTTTTTTTTCCTCAACATCCTCTTCAATATTTATTATTGTTTGCATTCATGATGGCTGTTATTCTAACTGGAGTGAGATAAAATCTAAATGTATTTTTGATTTTCATTTCCCTAAATGTTAAAAATATTGAACATTTTTTTCATATATTCACTGGACTTTTATATTTCTTCTTTTGGGAAATATCTGCTTAGTTCTTTTGTCCATTTATTTATTAGGTCGTTTGCTTTTTAGATGTTAAGTTTTTTAGTTCTTTTCTGAATACTAATCTTCTATCAAAAAGAGTAGTTAGCAGAGATTTTCTCCCATTCTGTATGTTCTCTCTTCAGATTCTTTATTGGGTCTTTGCTGCATAGAAACTTTTGAATTTGATGGCATCCCATTTATTAATTTGTAGGATTATTTCCTGAATTTAAGAATACTATCAAGGAAGTGTTTGCCTATGTGTGTATAGTTGGAGTTTTGATCCTACAGTTTCTTCTAGGAGTTGCATAGTTTCTGGTTTATTTTCTAGGTCATTCATTCATTTTGATTTGATTTTTGTGCTGGGTGATTGATAAGGGTCTAGTCTCATTCTGCTACATATGAACAATCAGCACTAATTGGTTAAAAGGCTGGGATTTTTGTTTTTGCTTTTTTTTTTCTTCAACGAGTGCTTTTGGCATCTCTGTCAACATCAGATGAGTATGTGTGAGTTTGTTCTTGTGTCTTTTATTCTGTTCCATTGGTCTATGTATCGGTTTTATGCCAATACATGCATTCTTTACCACTGTATCTCTGTACTATAATTTAAAGTCAAGTACTCTAATGACTCCAGGATTGCTTCTTACCTTAGGACTGCTTTGGCTATTCTGTGTCTTTTATTTGTCCAAATGATCCCCCCACACAGATGGAGACTGTGAGTCTGTATATTACTTTTGGTAATATGAACATTTAACAATAATAATTCTTTCCATTCATGAACATGGGAGGTCTTTCCATCTTCTAGTATCTTTTTTAACTTCTTTCTGCAGTATTCTTAGTACTACTAGGGTTTTGTTTTGGTTTCTGTTTTGATTTTTGAGGCTATTGTGAATGGTATTTTGTTTTCTTGAACTCTTTCTCAGCAGATTCATTATTGGTGCACAGGAAAGGTTTGTTTTTTTTTTATGTTGATTTCGTAACCTGCTATTTTGCTAACTTTGTTTATTAGTTCTATTAGTCTTCTGGTGGACTTTTTGATCTTCTTAGTATAGGATCATATAATTTGTAATCAGTGATCACTTGACTTCTTCCTTCCCTATTGTTAATCCTTTTCTTCCTTCTTTTGACTAATTGCATTGGCTAGAATCTGTAGTACTATACTGAATAGAAGTTGAGAGTGGACCTCCCGTTTTGTTCTGGATTTTAAAGGAAATGCTTTCAATTTGTCCCCATTAACTATGATTTTGGCTTTGGGTTTATTGTATATAGCCTATAAGATGTTCAGATAGGTTTTATCTATATCTAATTTCTTCAGTGTTCTTATGACGATGGGACCCAGAAGAATTCAAGCAAGAGACACCACCAACAAATACAGCCTTCTCCGGCTCAGTCCCCAAGTGTAATCATAACCCCCTCTTCAGTCTTCCAGGACCTTCAGCTGATCATGTGAACTACCAGACTCAAAGAGAGGCAAGATAACCTCCCCTCTGCATCTCTTACTTGAATCCTCCTGGGTTCAATCGTCATTATGCCTGTTTTAATTACATTCTGTTTGGTACACCCTACGTGTTTTAGTCAGATTTTTGGCACCATGACTAAAATACCTAACAAGAACAACTTCGAAACTTAAAGGAGGAAAAGTTTATTTGGGGCTCATGGTATCTGGATCTGAGATGAGGCACCACATCATGGGAAGAAAGCTGTTCAACTCATGGGGTGGTCAGAAAGTTGAGAGGGGGGTATCCACAGAAAGAGCAATCCTTCCAGGACATGCCCCCCAGTAACCTACTTCCAACCAGCCACATCCCACCTGCCTACTGCTACCACCCAGTAGTTCATTCAAACTAGGATGCTGGGAGCCATTAGCCAAGTAAGTAGGTATGACAATTTCCTTGCCAGCGTACCCCATGTTGCAGTGACATTGAATGTACATGACCTTGCTCAAGGACCAAGGCAGATTAGGGTGTTCCCGGTTTTAAGATAATCGTGTTTAGGGCGTTCCCAGTTTAGGTTCCAGGTTTAAGGTTTAAGATTATTCCTGCTGGGAATAGGGCATATCCTGCTGCCTGAGTTCCCCTTGAGTTCTCACGGGATTCAGACAATATATTTTGGAGATAGAAGCCCAGTGGAGGTGGATTTGGGAAGAGAACGTGGATTTCCCCAGAACGTGATTGTAGACGGCTGGTGTGAGTTCGGGAATAAAGAGTTGCTGTTTGAATCTACAAGCTGTGTGGTGGCTCGTGATTGTGTGCCCAGCCAGACTGCGGCATTTGTGCCCAGCCTGATTCCATCATTTCACTTCTGAATATCTCTGGCCTCCTCAAGATGTGTCCTTGTGTCAGCCGCTTGGCAAAATGTACTTTTCAAACACCAGCTCACTGGGCAGCCTCTGGATCAGCTAAGTTCAGACTGCTTTTCTGTTCCTCAGATTTTTCTGTGCCAAATTGGTTTATTCGGTTTCTCTGTGCTATCCGTCCTCTCTGTGGTGTACCAACACTGCTACTGCCAACACCACAACGTTTGGCTTCAATGTATTCTCTTGCCCTTTCTTCAATGCACCAAATTTTGGGGTATCTAAGAGTACCTGGATGTATGATATTAAATTTCAGAATTCCATCTTTTACTCACATCATGGAGAAATATTACTCCCGCCATTTCAATTTGGAGCCATGAATAACTGGAAATGCAGGCTTCTTCCAATCTTCCCTCAAGGATGTCTAAAGAAAAATATTTGTATAACAAATATCCAAAACGATCTTCATTTGACTTACATGTCTAATCTTAGGAAAGGAAAAGAAAATTTATGTTCTTAGTTTAATTATATATCTACACTATGAATTTATAGTTCATTACTCATTGAAGTACAAAATATTCCTTTATAGAGTTCAAACTTTGAGTTTATGACTTTTCCTTTCTTAAAACTTACTTGGTATATATACAAAATGAAAATATTCTACTTTCTTTGAAGCAAGAATCAGAATTCGTTTAGTTCTTTAACACCATAAGAGTGAGTATTGATTCACTTTAATTATATGCTGTAGATATATTCAAAAAGTAGAAAGCTCAATTATAATACTGACAGTACTCACATATAAGCATATTTTTAAGTTTAATGAAGATTTTTCCTGGGTGTATATTTTGCTGGGGATTGTACCCAATGCTTTGAGCATTTGCTACCTCCCAACACAAAAAAGATCTGTTAGTGTTTGTTTATAATTTGTGCCTCAGTCCGGCTGCAGCAAAATAACCGGGGGGTGATGAACAACTTGTGTACATTGATACAGCAGGAGTGGGAGCCATTTATTGTAGGACAGGAGGGGTATATATACATTACACACAGCTTATCTTAATTAACATAAACTAGATACAGCAGTCAACCAATAAGGAATCTCCACACTTAATGGCTTGCTGGCATTACTTCACAAACCACTCCCTCTGGCAAAATGCCAGGCGCCATCTTGACTTGTTTACAGACCCTAACAAATTTGCACTTGAAGTTGAGGTAGAATTTTAAGTTTTTAGTTACAATTGGGGAAGGATTAAATCAAACATCTGTAAAAATGAAGCTACATTTTCATTGGAGGGTTGATTATATATATTGCTCAAAGCACTATTTTCTCAATTTTACAGAATGATAAGTTTTCTGGAAAATTGGACCTTAGTCCGTTTTTTGTTGCTATAACAAAATACCTGAGATTGGGTTATTTATAAAGAAAAAAAGTTTATTTGGCTCACAATTCTGGAGATTGGGAAGTTCAAGCGCATTGTAGTAATTTGGGCAAACATTTTTATAATGTACCCTAGCATGGTGGTAATGTAGAAAGGCAAGTGGGCACATGTGGAAGAGACAAAACACAAGGGATGGGTTTACTTTTGAATAACTCACTTTCATGGTAACTAATCAAGCCCTGTAAGTGAGAATTCATTCACTCCCACAAGAAAGATATAAATCCTTTTAATGACACAATCACCTCTTAAAGGCCCACTTCCCAACACTGTGACAAGGACAATCAAATTTCAACTTGAGTTTTGGAGAGTAAAAACCATAGTTAAACCAATGCACTATCTTGCCACAACATGCGGCTAAATCAGTCAGGGTCACTCCAGGTGGATTGGGTTGGCACTGAATAATCACACAGAGACAGAGAAAATACCTTTTTCTTGAGGTTCAGCAATGGCTCCTCAGCCGCAGCTCCCACAAGGGAAGCAAGAGAGGCAGACAAAAGAGAAAGAGAGAGAGAGCGAGAGAGAGTGAGAAAGAGCGCAAGCGCACACACCTGAAACCCTATTTATTGAGGGGAAGGCACTCTAGAAAGTTCCATACATATGAGGCAAAGGATTGGGTTTCAGGGGAGTGTAGCCCAGTCTCACTGAATGATGCCCACTCCAAGAGCTTCATTCCTCTGCCAAGTGGATATGAGATCCACCTGCTTCCGAGCACAGCAGAAACTAGTCTCACACCTCCATTGCTCAAGGCTAAGGGTGCTCAGCTCCTATGTGGCAGCTTCGGACTCTATCTTGTAATAGTTTCCATCTGAAAACCTCTATGCAGTTTTCTTCTGAAGGTAGGTACCTCAGTAGCTCCTTGAGAAAGTCTTGAGAAGGCCTCCCAAGACCAGTCCACTCTCCAATTACTCACATGGTTCACGATTATTTATCAAGCAATTTCTAATGCTATGTATCGGGCACTGTGTGGAACATAGAAGTTTTTAAGATGACAATTCTGGTTTCCTTCCATGAGTAACTAATAGATGAGCAATAAATAAATAAATACATAATGCTTACTAGAGCGTGAGAAGTGTGCTATGTGGATGATCCAAGTGTTGTAGGGCCTGAAACATTCAGTTTGTGGCACCATCTGTTATGGTTTAGATTAGATGTCCCCCAAAAGCTCATGTGTGCGAAAATACAAGAAAGTTTACAGATGAGATGATTGGTAAGAGGTTTAACTTAATCCATACATCAATACCCTGACTGGGATTATTATGGTGTAACTATAAGCAGGTAGGTGGGCCCCGGGGGAATGCCTTTGGGGTATATATTTAGTCTGTGGTGAGGAGAGTCTCTTTCTCTGATTCCCGGTACCATATTTCCAGCTGCTTCCATCAGCAGCACCCCTCTGCCATGATGTTCTGCCTCATCTTGAGCCCTGAGGAATGGAGCCAGGCATATGGACTGAGCTCTTTGAAACCGTGAACCCCAAAATAAACATTTACTTCTCTATGTCAGGTCCTCTGGTCACAGCAGTGAAAAAGCTGATTAAAAACATCATCTTTACCAAATAAACATACAAATAGAAACTTAAGCATGTACTTTAATATGTAGAATGAATGAATAGATCATGAAAAATACAAAAGCTAAAATTGCAATAAGCATCATAAATTCACTACTTCAATCTTTTCTCTAGTATAATTTGATACACTTTTCAAATTATTGATACTTTAGAAAACTTTCATTTTCTGATTAAGATGAAAATGTTTATAATTGTTATCCAACTTGGGATAAGAATTATAAACATTTTCATATTTGTTGAGGGGAAGGCACTTTCAAATAAATAAGTTTCTTTCAAATAAATAAGACTTCAGGTTTTTCAGATGTTCCTGTGCATTCACTGTCTCACATACTCTGAACTGATATTTATTAGCAGGTTTATCATAGATATCTTCTTTGCTTTGGTGTCATTAAGAGTTTCATGTTATGTTTATCAAAGTCAATAATCATGTCCAATCAGAAATAATTTAATTCTTTCTCTAGTGAATTCAGATAACTTATTTTCTTCTTAAATTTGATTATCTAACAATTTTATTACTATTAATTCCTTTGCCCTGGAGAAATATAAAAATATTCTCCCCCACCCTTCCCTCTCCCCTTTCTTTCCCTGCCTCCCTCATTTTCTCCTCCCCATCTACCTTTTTCAATGAGTTACTCTTTGGGGCCTGATTTGAACTCAATTTTGTTATAATTTGCTTCCTAGTGTCAGAAAAATTTTAGTTGACTTTATTCCTAATGTTCTTTTGATTTTGTTTCATATTCTATTTTAATATGAATTTTTCCCATTGCTAAACATAAATTTCCCAATCAAGTCTATTTGTCTCCTTTGAATCAAAATATTCCCCAAAGTATTTCCCTAATACAATTCTAAAATGGCTTCCCCTAATCTTCAGCCAAACACGCTCTAGTGACTGCAATGAATGAAAGAAGGACTCGAATCATAACTCACTGTAGTTGAACTATCTTTTGCTTCACAGAAAAATACACATTTGTTCAGTGGAAAAGTGGAAAGGAAAACTGCCTGGGTGAGATCAAGGACAGTGTCATAGGGCACCTGAATGTTGGAGCTAACTCTTAAGAATGGCAGTGTTCACAAGGTAGAGAAGACTGTGCAAGTACTTGGGCAAAAGCTCAAAGCCCCACAACTCTAACCAAAAACCCAAGGTTCTGACCATGACATTACCATCTTTCTCTTCTAGTTAGTTCTCTAATGTCCCTATTTCCCAACTTCTATCTACTCATATACAGTAGCAATTATGGCTATTAAAACTCAAATTCAGTTAAAATAGTCCATGTGAAACACAAATTTTTAATGAAAATAGAATAGAGGCATTTTTAGATTTTCTGGTTTATAAAAGAAAAGATCATGAGAAGTACACATTTGAAGAATATAAAAACATGAAGGACATGTTCATCTTTAAGTCCAGGTTGAACCAAAAAGAGAACATGTCCTTGGAAACTGGAAGGAATCATGTTTGGAAAATGAATACAAAATTTTATTCAGTGGGCTTCATCATCCTAAATGACAGACCAGAAATTTCAAGAAATATCTTTACCAAAATGAAATTATAGTTTATAGGTTCTAATCCACAATCTTCATGATAAACATCAGAGAAAGGAACTGACATCCTCTTTACCAAAGTGGTCCTATTACAACCAGAGATTCCTGAATTAGTAGAGCTTTTACAATTTTAAAAGTTCTTGGAAAAAATAGATGTTAATAGCTTATCCCACAGCTTAGACACATGGTACTTGCATATGTTTTCTCTTGATTTATATGATGGTTCATTTTAGTTATCAACTTGAATGTGCCATAGGATGCATAAGTATTTGGCCACATATTATTTTGTGTTTGTCTATGAAGATGTTTTGGAAGTTGTGGAAAGCAGATTTTCCCCAAATGTGGGTGGTCCTTATCCATTCATTTGAAAGGATGAGAAGAACCAAAAGGTCCATTTTCCCATGAGGAAGAAGGAATTCCTCCTGCCAGACTGCTTAAGCTGGAAAAATTAGTTTTGTCTTTCTGTATTCACAGTTAAACTGAAACTGACTTTTCTTGGGTTTTGGGCTTGCTGGGTTTTGAATTGGAAATACACCAAAGATACTTCTGAACCTCCAGTTTGAGGACTGGGGGTCCTGGGACTTCTCAACCTCTACAGTCATGTAAATCAAATCATTAGAATAAGGAACACACACACACACACAGCCAAATACCTATACATCCAGTGGCCCATTGAAGTTGATATATAAAATTAACCAAGTCGCCAATCAAAAGTGAAAAGATATAGTAGCATGTATTTGTGTCTAAGTTGTGGGATTGTATCTGCATGTGTATATCCTGTTGATTCTTTTTCTCTAGATCACTCTGATTTAAACAACTAGATATAAACAAGATAAAGAATTCCACTTAAGGGGCTGGGATTATGGCTCAGCAGTAGAGCACTCACCTAGCATGGGTGGGGCCTGGGTTCGATCCTTAGCACCAC